CCTCCTCCTCCTCCTCCTCCTCCTCCTCCTCCTCCTCCTCCTCCTCCACAAATCCCACTCCCTTCTAGCATTGAGGATGTGCCCTAGTTGGGCCATGAAACATCTGCAAGGAAACAGCCAAGCTGAGAGAGCACCCAGGACCCCCACAGTCCTCCTCCTCCCTCCCCCCTCCCCTCCCTCTCGGCTGACCTTGTTCCTCTTCCTCTTCCTCCCCCTCCCCCACCCCTACAGGCTATGAAGAAGATGTACAAGGCCTGCCTCAAGTACCCCGACTGGAAGCAGAAGCACAACCCGCACTTCAAGCCCTGGCTCTACCCAGAGCAGAACCCCCTGCCCAGCCTGGCGCTTTCGGACCTCTCCATCCAGCACGCCGACTCCCTGGAGAACATTGACGAGAGCAGCCTGGCCGAGACCAAAGAGGAGCGGGCCGAGGGCAGCGACGAGGACAGCGTCAACTGAGGGCCCGCCGGCCGGAGGGAGGGAGGGGAAGGGCGGGGAGGGGCGGGGAGGGGCGTGCCCACCTACCCACCAATCCACTCTGACCCACCCGGCCTTCTCCTCGTCTGTGTCACTCCTGTGTTTGCAAAGGAGGAAGGGTGGGCCGGCTTCATTTAGTGCCAGTCGTAGGAGGGGACGATCGGTCGTGGGATGCTGAAGCCAGAGAGCAAAGTTTTCGGAGGGAGGCACCACACCCGGTGGGGAGTTCTTTCTCCCTTCACCCCCCCCCCCCCCCCCCCCCCCCGCCCCCCCCCCCCCCCCGTCCTGGCCTTTTCCTGCAACCACGTTTCTTTAACGGCACCCGGGGGCGGTGGGAGAAGAGCCGGGGTCTTTCCACGGGACCCCTGAGCTTTGCAAGACGGCAGGTAACCCGGAGGAAGACGGGTATCTCTTCCCATGAAGACGTCTGCTGCTCTCTGAAGGGGGGGGGGAGGTCTTCCTTGGCAGGGAAGAGGCCCCCTCCCCACGCAGAGCCTTCTGCCTTCACAGGGGGGAGGACAGGGGTGGGATGACCAGGCAGAGGCCTCCCTTCCCCCCCTCCAATGCAAGATGTTATTGCAGCACCCTAATGGACGGCGGAATCGGGACTAGAGAGAGACGGGCTGTGGCCGGTTTGCAGCGGTTTGTGAGAACCGGTTGTTAAGACGGCACAGTTTGGAGAAGCGGCAGATTCCACCGCCGGCTGCCCCTTCCCCCACTCCTTTTTTCGGCCCTGATTTTTGGGCTGTTTTGGGGGGCATTTTCAGCCTGGTTTTGAGGTGATTTTTTTGGCTGTTTTGGGGCTTTCAGACCATTTTGGGGACAAAAACAGCCCCCCAAATGGCCTCAAAACGGCTCCAAACAGCCCCCAAACGGCTTTAAAGTGTCCCCAAAAATGTCCTGAAAAACGGCCGCCAATCAGCCCCCAAATGGCCTGAAAAGGGCCCCAAACAGCCCCCCAATGGCTTTAAAATGTCCCCCAAAATGTCCTGAAAAATGCCCCCCAAAATAGCCCCCAAAACGGCCTGAAAAGGGTCCCCAAAACAGGCCGAAAACCAGGCACGGGCGGGGCCAGCCAGCAGTGAGATTAGCCCCACCTGGCGGAATCCCCGCTTTGCCTTGGAGGGGAGTGGCCAGGAGGCGGGGCTGGGTGGGATGAGTGACGTCCCCCACCCAGTCACATGACCGACTGGCCCCGCCTACTCAATCCCGCCACTGACCTGGACCTCCCCGACAGCCCCTTCCCAAATGACAAGGCCCCCAACACACACATCCACAGCCCCTGCCAAGGCCCTTTCAACGCCAGCCCTGCACCCAAGAAGGACCTGGGTCCCCCCCCCAACCTCTCCGTGGGTCTCCCCAAGGTTCAAACTCCCGGGATGGGTCACGAGGGCAGCCAGGATGGCTCTGCGTGTCTTTCGCATGTTCCTCCCGCGGGGAAGACGCACGAAACGCCACCGGAGCTTTTGGTGGCACCATCCCAACGGCCATTCGTGGCCCGTGGACACCTCCTCCCCCCCGCTTTCTCGTGGAAAGCACCGGCTTCTGGGCGGGGTCATTGCAACCTGTGGGCTTGCTTTCTCACCTCACCGGTAGTCCTCGACTTACAACAGTTCACTTAGGGACCGAAGTTCTCACGGCACCGAAAAAAAGGCACTTATCCCCCATTTTTCCACACTTGACGCCGGTCCCCAGGGTCGCGTGATCAAAATTCGAGCCACTTACCAACCGACTTGTATTTATGACGATCGCAGCGTCCCGGGAGGGTGTCACGTGACTTGCTTTTGCGACCTTCTGACAAGCAAAGTCGACGGGGGAGCCGGATTTGCTTAATGACCGCACGACTCGCTTAACGGCTGCCGTGATTCCCTTCTCATTTGTGGCAAGAACGTTCGTTAGAATGCACTTGGCGAACGTCTCGCTTTGCCACGGAAACCTTTGGGCTCAATTGGCGTCGTAAGTCGAGGACTACCCGTACAGAGACGAGCGTGAAGTGCAACTGGCCTCTGGAAGGAGAAGGTGGACGCCCCCGGCCCTCCCCTGGTTTGTGGTTCAAACCCTTTCTCACGGCTCATCTGCACACATCTGGCTGCCCTCTGTAGTTCCTGTCCGCTTTTCCCTCCCCGTCCTGGGGGTGTGGGGGGGGGGGAGGTCCACCTGCAGAGAGTCCTTCAGCTTGGAGGCCTCCTGCTCCCTGCTTTGACCCCCTGGTTCTAGCTGGACGCAGGCTGAGAAGGTTGGGACCCCAAGAAGCAAATGTCTTTTCGGGGCCCACTCGCGGAGGGGGAGAGAGAAGGAGGGTCCCGCCCTGTAGAGCAGGCACGACTCGTGGACCTCAACTCCCAGAATTCCTCAGCCAGCCAAGGTGGGAGACCCCTAGTATACAGCAGGGGTCGCCAACTGGCGGGCCGGGGACCACTGGCGGTCCGCGAGAAAATTGTGGTGGTTCGCAGAGAAATGTCACCCCCAAAGGAATTAATCCAGGCTGCGCGGGAACACAAGGCTGCACCGCCCCCATGGGAACACAAGGTTTGTGTCGCTTGCATTGCGAACAACACAGGGTAGGGAGGGGAGGGGGGAAAGGGCAGAGGGGGGGGAACTTGCCCCAAGCGCCCCACACGCCTGGCCTGGCCACGGGGCTCCTTCTTTCTGCTTCTTCCTTCTTCTGCTTTTGGCTGCACGCAAGGAAAGCAGCCAAAGTCTTTCTTTCTCTCCCCCAAACTCCGCCAGAAATGAGTCTTTGGGACCCTGCAAGGCTTCTTTGCTCCAAGAGGCTGCGCTGGCAAAGACTCATTTGTGGTGCAGTTTGTGGGAGAGAAAGAAAAACTTCTGCAGCTTCTGCTGCTTTCCTTGCATGAAGCCAAAAGTCTCTCCTCTCTCTCTCTCTCTCCCCCTGAGAACAGAGCTGGAGAGGGTATCCTGCGATCCCAAATAAAGATCAATCGATCGGTAGGAAAACGGGGTGGGGGATTTTCCTGCAGACTTTTGGGGGGGGATTTTCCCAGGGTCTCTGGTCCGCGGGATTTAAAAGTACGAGTTTGGGGGTCCCTGAGGTCCAAAAGGATGGCAACCCCTACTGTAGTAGAGGACATCTCCACCACGCTGCATCATTGGAGATCCTTGAGGTCTCCGGGCTCTTGGCCAACAGTCACTTGAAGCCGCCGGAGATGAAGGCAGGATGTTCTAAACGGTGTCCCCGAGCAGAACGTGCCGTCGGCCTTCTCTGGCTGCCAGATGGGACGGGTCCAACAGCAGAGTCACCTTGCCACCCTAAACTGGTCGCAGCTGGACACCTTCCGCTCCTTTTCCTCCCAATGAAATTGAGCTCGGTGGGTGGGTGTATCTGTGTGTCAGCAGATTTTTTTCACGGGATGGGCTGCCCACAAAACAATGTGTGTGGGGTGTGTGTGTATGTGTGTGTGTGGAGAGACCTTCCCAGTGAGGCCATCTTGGGCCGATCCAGGTGGGAAAGGCCAGGTCCAAACCTGAAGGTTCAGCGAACCTGATGGATTGCTAAAACCTATGCAAGGGAATCTCCTCAACTCACAGTCTCGGCACCTGCTAGATTGGAGTTTGAGGCGATTCCAGGGAAGTTGGGTTTAGTTTGTGGCTCTGTAAGGATTCTAGGCTTGTGCCTGGTTTGACGCCACCCCCAGTTCTGCCATTCCCTTAAACCCACCTTGGAAAGGCAGGTGGGGCCAACCGAGACAACTTTTCCACCTTCTTCCTTTGTTCCGGGATTATTAATGCTCTTTCTGTGCTGGGGAAAACCTTGCCTGGTGGGGGAGCCCCTAGCTTGGGGGGGGCGGGGTATCTAGCAGCAGTTGTTATGGTGGGATGTTTTCCATGGGACCTCCTCCCCCTCTCTTCCTCCCCGTCTCTTTCTCTTTTTCTTTCTCTTTCTCATTCTTTCTCTCTCTCATTGTCTCTTTCTCATTCTCTCTTTCTTGTTCTTTCTTCCTTTTCTCTCTCTTCTCATTCTCTCTCTCTCCCTTTCTTTACCTCTTTCTCATTCTCTCTATACATATCTTCCTCTCTCTCTCTCTCTTCTTTCTCTTTCTCTCTCCCTCTCTTTCCCTTTCCCCCTTCTCTTTCTCTTTTTCTCTCTCTCTCGTTCTCTCACTCTCACTGCCCCCTGCCGAGTCTGAAAGGCTAGCGGAGCAAGAAAAGTGAGATTGGACTAGCCTTAAATTGTAGGATTGTTACTGTAGCTTTCAGGAGTTGCTTCCCCCTATAGCCCCTTTTGCATTTCAAGGGGGGGGGGAGGAGGGTGGATTTTAAAAAAAGGGGGGATGGGGATTTCATATCTTGTTACTGGACCATTTGTTTCAAAATAAAACGGAGTTCCAATTCTTTGGGTTTCTTACTTGCAAAGAGGTGGAGATGGACACGCTGCCCTGGAAGATCACGAGCGAAACGAGCCCCAGGATTTGAATGAGGGGCCTGAAAGAACGGGCCAGCAGGTGACAGCAAAGCCATATGGACCTGTCTCGAAGTCCAGCGGCGGTCTCTATCACCCCGATAGAATGATAGAGTCGGAAGCAGAGGGCGGGATTCAGCCGGTTCTGACTGGTTCTGACGAACCGGTAGTGGAAACGTTGAGTCGTTTGGAGAACCGGCCAATCCCACCTCCGACTGGCCCCGCCAACCTCACCTCTTCTCCGCCTCCCATGGAGTCCCATCTGATCGGCTGGATCTCCTTTGGTGGCCCCGCACTAGAGAACGGAGCTGGAAAGCAGGTTAGTGGGGTCGGGAGGGAATAGAGATTTTGCAGTATCCTTCCCCTGCCACGCCCACCAAGCCACGCCCACCAAGCCACACCCACAGAACCAGTAGTAAAAAAATTTGAATCCCACCCCTGGTTGGAAGGGACTAGAAGGGTCAACTTTGCCAGTATTTCTTGGCTCCTTTAAGAGAGGTAGATTTTTGTATTTTTTGTTTTTAAAGAATAAAAAAAAAAACGGGTGGGTGGGGTGGACTTCAACTCCCAGAATTCCCCGACAGAGAAGGTGGATATAGGTAGGGTTTGGGGGAGAGTTGGGAATGGGAAGAATTGGTAGTTTTATGACATATAAGGTAGGATGTCCCACCCTGGTGACTTTATGGCTTGTGGACTTCAACTCCCAGAATTCCTTAGCCAGCTCTTCCAACTC